TAAATTGATGGTCTAAACTTTCAAGCACTTATCATGAAATTCTTTATTGTGCTCACAAAATTTACTTATATCAAATTAAATTATATCACGTACTCTCAATACATATATAAAATACTATAACTATTTTTAAAACTTTATATCACGCTCTAAAATTAAGACCCAATATATCAAATACCCGAATATCCGGAAAGTGTTTGATAATCGGCGAGGTTTTGGGAAAACAGCATATAGCGATGAAGTGCAAACGGAGCGAATCGAAGGATATGGAGGTCTCGAGGGATTTGAAAATTTGTTCGACAGGGTCTTTTGGGAGCTAGGTCCATTAAGCCATTTGTCCGGCCTGATTTTCTCAGGAAAGTGAGGGAAAGTCAGCAAGGTATTGAGAGGTGCTTTTGTATTTGGCCTGATTTTCTCAGGAAAGTGAGGGAAAGTCAGCAAGGTATTGAGAGGTGCTTTTGTATTTGAGGGGATAATCACTTTAGATATCTTATTTCCAATTTGTCACTTAAAACTGTTTGAATTTTTATTTTTATAACACTAAACTCCCTTTAATCGTTTCCGGTAAAAAACCTATACCGGAAAACTGAAGTGGCTTGAATAAACACACAATTTATAATATTTTAGCTCCATATCAGTCCTACGAGATGAAATTTTCTCTCCTATCTAGATAAATTATTAGTTTTCTTGTGTTCATTCTTTTCCATTTTATTTCGTTGTCTCATCTCAAATAATTTATTTCCGCCTAATCTTTAATTTCGAAGCAAAGATTAAATAAAATACCGATGAAAATCACAACAAAACAAAAATGCAAGAACATAAAAGAAAAGTTAAATTAAATTAAAGCTACCATCAAAATTGGCACTTAACCTTCCACCAAAACTTTTTTTTTTTCCTAAATCTTTTAGTGCTCAAAAATTTATACCTTCATTATATTCTCTTCTAATATCATACGAACGATAGACCATGGGCCCACAAAGTCAAATCAATTATCAAGGGTATGATTGAAGAACTAACCATCTTAAATGAAATTAGAGGCATAGTATCACCAGGAGAAATCTTAGCCATACTTTGACCATCAACGACCGGAGAATCAACGCTATTAAATGCCCTCGCAAGAGATTACTCCCTAGACATGGCTTTATAGGAACAATACCAGCCAATCAAAAAAAAAAAAAAAAAAAACGCACCCATTTAGAAACCTTGAGGACAACCTAGCAGAGATGTCAATATATTATCAATTTATCTAGGTAGAGCATTGAAGAATCTATACCAATCTTTAAACTGAATACTCTATGAGGCTATAGTCAATTATCGAAATTGTAGTGCAGCACACTATCCTTAAGGACCATACTTTGACCATCAAACGACCGGAGAATCACGCTTATTAAATGCCTCCGCAAGAGATTAACTTCCCTAGAACATGGCTTTAATAGGAAACAATACGCAGCCAATTCAAAAAAAAAAAAAAAAATAAAAAAAAAAAAAAAAAAAATCAGCAAATCAAGTGTATTTTTGGACGGAAACCGATCAAAAGGGTATTTAACGATATAAAAATGGAAGTCAATACAGTTTTAACTGATAAATTCAAAATGAGATATCATAAAGTGATATCCTTATAAGTAACAAAGTGATATTCGTGAATTTTCTTTAGGAACCGAAATGGCGTAAGTATTCGTGAATTTTTAGCTGCTCCTATTCGTTTAAAATTTTACTATATGTACTCATTTTAAACCCGTTTACATATCTACTTAAATATTTATATCCGAATTTATTCAAAATTTTACTACTTGTAGATATTCTGAATCCGTTTAAAGTATCTCTTATGCTAGTAGTTTAAACCAAATTTATTTAAAATGCATCTTTTACTAATGAAAGAGTGAAACATTTGAAAGTATTCATGACCAAACTCGTTTAATACAGTGGGTAACAGATAGCGGAGACCTAGAGGCTTATATTATACCCATATCCATTGTAGGTAGAAACATTATTTATACCCATATCAAACTCATTTAACTAGTTAAATCCTCGTTAAACGGATTGGAATGAGAGAGAATTTAAAATTCACTTCTCATTTTGATCCTTAGTTCCGTTTCAAAAGGAGACACCGACACTGTTAAAATTTATGGACCCAAACAGATTGGCCCATAAGTTAATTAGCTGTGGTCCATCAATTACTTACCACCGGTCTTTGTTGTTGGAGTTGTTAGCGCAATTGAAGAAGAATATGCTCTTACAATTACAAAAACAGAATTCAAAGGAGAAAGTTTGGAAGAAGCTGTCAGTACAATGGCTGATAAGTACGTACACAAACCCTGTCAATGGGCAGGACCAGGTTTTAAAGAAAGTAAATTCAGAATGTACCCGCTTTTAGACGGTTGCAAAATAATTTTAAACCTGCGGATTTTAGTTTGGATTGATTTTAAAACCGAAATTAATAATTTTTTTCAATAAAACCGAAATTTAATAATTTTTTTCCAAATTTTTAACCTTTTTTTTAGTTTTCTACTTAAATAAAAATTAAATAATAAAGTAATAGGAATTAAAAAAAGACTAAAAGAGTAAAATAAATAATTATCAAATTTATTAAAATTATAAATAAAAATTATAGTAAAAAAAAATACAAATGTGAGATTCTTTATTAGTGTTTAATTTCTATAAATTTCAAAAATTTGAGAGAGATTTTCTAAATTTTTATTTTATTGAGAGTTTTAAAAAAATAAATCTTAAAATAACAGTTATAATAAATTTATATGTAAAATAATAATTATATAAATTATAAAGTATAAAAAAATTAAAAATATTTAAATGAGGAGGAGTAATTTTTTATTTTTTTACTCTTTTTCCAATTAAAATTTACAAATTTATATTAAAAAATTTTAAGGTGATGGTACAAGCATTTAATAAAAATTAATTTAAAAAAAAATTTAAAATCAAGTGTGATATTTTTTTTCTTTCTTAACAGTTTCAAATTTAAACTGCGGGTTTTAATTTTAAAAATATGAAAATTGTAATCAAACCTTAAATATCCAATTTCGATTACAGTTTAGAACTTAAATCGTTTATCACGAGTTTAATTCTGATTTTGATTAATTTGGTTTCCTGTAATCAAATTGTCATCATGCCTACCCGTTAAACTGGGTCAGATAAGCACGTGACTAACTTCCATATTAAATCCTAGGACGTTTTGGTTTTACGCAATTGACCTGTTTTAAACTGTTCAACAGTCCAAGCAACTACCACATTGTATACTGTAGGTCATTCTAAATCAATAAAGAATTACTGCACAGAAATGATATATCTATGTAAGATCAGGACACTAACTTTCGAGACGAAGTCGAGTCCAAGCTTTTAATAAACACAATTCATGTCTTCTAGTCGCTTAAAATGGATGTGGTGGAGACTGCTCCTTCTTCTACTTGTGCTAGCAAAAGTTGTCTTCTCCGGCGAAATTGTCAGTTGTCTTCTCCCGGCGAAATTGTCAATACTTGCCTGGTTTTGAACGGCGAACTTCCCATTTAAACCTTGAACCGGGTATTAATATTTTCCGTCAGGTTTTAGTTTCTTGAAATTGTTCTTTGTTTTTTCTCATGCTTTGAATTCTTGGTAATAGGTAGCTAGTGTGGATGATTCTGAAGCAATTTACTAAACTTCATTGAATTCACCAAAGGAAAATCCACAAGAAGACCGCCTCTCTTTCTGGTCGGCTAACTGGAAGGACCCGTCGGTGTTTCGTTCGGTGGACTTTCAATCTGATGAAATTGGTCCTCTCTCCTCTCCTCTCTCTCTCTCTCTCTTTCTCTCTCTTCCCTCTTTAGTTGCTGTGTCCTTTCCTTCTTGTTAATTTTCCATTTTGATATGCTACACAAAACGAAGGAAGGAGAAACGTACAGATTGTAATCTAAAAAAATTCAGTACGTTTCTCTATGTTCACGAATCACTTGAATGGAATTTCATAATTAATACTTGAATTTGGTTTAATTCATTATTCAAATGGATTTGGCAGGGATGGAGCTAGACTTAAATATTTAGCGTAAAAAATAGAAAAAGATTTAAGTAAAACATGGGGTGAATAAGGGTATTTTCAAACGATAAATTATTTCATTTGAATTTTATTAAATTAAATTAAACTTAGGCAATTTAGATTAAATTCTTCCATTGAATAAATACTAAATTTACGGGGTAAAAATTAAATTTTAAAAACAGTAAAAATTATTTTACTATAATTCTGCTTGGCAACAACATTTGCGATAGCTATTGAAAACACTTTATATAGATTATAGTGTTCGGTAAAGTAATACCTATAACAGTGTTTAGAAAGATTTTATCAAATATTACTCTACCTAATCAAATATTTATTTTTACCTAATCAAATATTTACTTTTATTGAACACTTTCGTTTTAAATCACTATATAAGTAATTAACAACTAATAATTACTAGAACAGTTGGTATTAATCTAATGATAAATGATATAGTTGTTAGCTAATTATATATATTACTTCCATCTCATTTTGTTTGCTTATTGTTTTTTTTTGAATGTCCTTTTTTCATTTCTAAATTTGTAATTTGTACATTTAAATAATTATTTTTCTCATAATAACTTTTATGATTATTCACTAAATGAATGATTTTTATTAACATTTTAATGAGTGAAGGATAAAAAGGATAAAATAATTTTTATTGACTAAATTTTAAATATATGAATTTTATCAAACCATATAAACAAAACCAGACGGAGAGCGAATTATTTTATTTTTAATAGTTAGAAATTTTTTAAGAGAGAGTGACCAGGCATGCATGATGAGGTACATTATTTAATCGATCATTCATCTGTTAACTTAATCATTTGACAAAGTTTGATTGAAACGTCAAATCACAAAAATGTCAGAAGTAGGAAATAAGATTTTGTTGAGTTGGTAAGAAATCAAGACAGGCCTCCAGATCAAGACAGGCCTGCCACGCAAATAGTTGGTAAGAAATCAAGACAGGCCTCCAGCAAATATCAATCTCAGTCCATCAAATTTGTATTCCGCCAAGATAGGCCTAAGGTTAATATCCCTTCTAAACCCCATGACCGTGCTAATACATAGTAATATAAATTTTTAATAATATTTTTCTTTTTTCTTTTTTTTAAGGACCATTGGAGTTTGACATAGACAACTACACTGGGGGCTTGCCAAAATTGAAGTACTACCCATATGCATGGACAAAGGTTATTTTCATTAATTACATTATTTAGTTATTTTCTTCCCCAGAAAATTAAAAAAAAAATTAATTGATCCTTAATTACTCATAATTCTTCAGACAGCCAGCATTATATTTTTGGATGCACCAGTTGGGACAGGTTTCTCTTATGCCAGAACTCAAGAAGGATGGTCCACTTCAGACTCAAAATCAGCAGAGCAATCTTACCAATTTCTGAGGAAGGTTAGCAAAATTCAAATATGAAAATCAAAATTTTCATATTAAAAAAAAATTTATAAAATTTTGTTTCGCCCCGCAAACTATTTTTCCTAACTCCGCCGCTACTTACGGAGGTAATTAGTAGCGATTCAAACTTGACAACTCCTATCCCATTTTAGCATTTTTGGTGTATTGAAAAGAACATCTGTTAATCAAAATGTAATAATTAAAGTTCTCAAACCCTATTGCAGTGGTTGCTAGAAAACCCACAGTATTTGCTAGTTCAGCTGTTTATTGGTGGTGATTCTTACTCAGGCATTACTGTTCCATTGGTCACTCAAAAAGTGGTTGAAGGTAATAAAGGTAATAAATAAATTTCAAAAATTTTATCAACATCATAATTCTTGTGGTTTCTAGGCTTGCCAGCTTGACTCACCAATCACAAATTGATTTGCAAGGTTAATGAAGCAAAAGTATTTCAAAATTTTATCAACTCATAATTCTATGTGTTCTAGCTTGCCAAGCTTGACTCCATCACAATTGATTTGCAGGTAATGAAGCAAAAGTCTATCCATACCTGAATCTCAAGGTACATGTTTTCTATTTTAATGTGTTTTTTTCTTTTTTATTTACTTTTTTATTTTTATCTTAGGACACGTTTGGTTCACGTTAAAACTAAATTAAACTGAATACTAAATCCAAAGAATTATATTTCAGATTAATAATTATGTTAATAAATAGAGATTATTTCGTTATAGACTTCAAAGCGAACCAAACGTCATCTTAAGTAAATAGCATGAAATCCATAATAATGTTTTTAAAATTTGTTGTAGGGATATCTGCTTGGCAGCCCCCATACAGATTCAGTTATAGATGAAAATTCGAAAATAATATTTGCTTACAGAATGGCCCTAATTTCAAAGAAACAATATCATGTAATCTAATATTTCATTCTCTATGCATTTTACGATGTTTAGTTTAGCAAATGTTCATTTTATATTATCTACAGGTTCAAAATTTCTTATGCAAACAAATTTCAGAAAATTTTGATGTCAGTAACTTATTTTATTATTTTGATTTATGACTAATCTTGTTCCGGAGTTTATTGTTACTCCTTTTTCACAAGTATTTTTCTACAAATCGAACTGTATAAAAATTATTTACTGAATTCAGGCGTTGTAGACAGAATTATTTACTTATTTGGTGTGACTTATATTTTTCTTCTTTTTCTAGAATCTTAAAAAGAGCTGCAATGAGATGTATGTGAATGTAGATCCATCCAACACAGCATGTGTAGCTGCCCTTCAAACTTATGAAATGGTAAAAAAAAATCGTTATTTTTGATTTTTTTATTTATGTTGCTTTGTTTATTATTTTTATTTTTTTGTTTAGCTGGTAAATATAAGTCTTTAAATTTCTATGTTTGCAGTGTGTTAAAGATCTGTATAAAGGTGATATCTTGGAGCCTAAATGTCTTTTTGTATCCCCGGAAGCAAATCGAAGATCCATGAAAGAAAAATCTACAAATTTCATCCTTTCACCACCAAGAATTCCCGAATTGTGGTGTCGAGTAATTCTCCTATCATCAGAATATTTTTTTTTATTATTATTAATTCAACTGCAACTGACATTTTACTCCCAATTAAAGATAGTAATTGTCTATCTAATTCAAAGAAACTCCCAACGACGAATAACCTGATTGGCACACCAAAATATAGTCTAATGATTAGTGCATATACGACCTGATAATAAATTCAAATTCGAATCCCCCATCCCCAATATTCAAAAAAAGCCGATTGAAACGAATCCAAAACGACTTAATTTCTTGCATATTTTTCTAGCAAATTAAGTATTGACAACTATATAAACTTCTCTTTGCAGACTTTTAATTATGCGATGTCTTATGTGTGGGCAAATAATATGGAAGTGCAAGATGCCTTACACGTTAGAAAGGTTTGACTGCTTTGAGAGTAGTAATTATGATTGTTAATAATGTTAAGCTGAAGTGTTAATTGTAATGGTACTTATTAACAGGGGCTAGTGCCATACTGGTCAAGGTGCAATAGAACTTTATCATACACAAAAAATGTTCCAAGCGTTGTTCAAGTTAATCGATACCTTAGTACCAAAAGATTGGTACTTCTAGTAGAAAGGTAATTAGTTAAATATTTTATTTAGTCTAATTTGCATTGCTTTAGCTTAATCTGATCACATTATAAAATGAACTTATAGTTGAAGGTAATTTTACCTGTAATATCAGGAGTATAATCAAAATTTAGAATTACCGTCGGAATGAATTTATCTAAATACCATCGCAAATTCAAGTATGAAAACACTTAACAAAATCCATTTGCCAATAAAAAATAATCTAAATATACTAGATGTAGGCATTTCCTTCATACATCAATAACCGATATGATACTTATTGCAATAAAATTTTATGTTGCTACAGCGGAGACCGTGACATGGTGGTTCCTTTTGTTGGAACTTAGAAATGGATAAAGTCTCTTAATTTGACTGTTGATGATAACTGGCGACCATGGCTTGTTGATGGCCAAATTGCAGGGTAAGTATTTTCCAACTCTGATTAATGTTGAATGACCGAAAAATCCCCAAACTAACTTACGCTCTGATTAATGTTGAATGACCGAAAAATCCCCAAACTAACTTACGCTTTTTGATCATCAACGTAGATACACAATAAAATATTGTTCTTCAGACAATGAATTTTATTTGACATACGCAACTGTTAAGGCAAGTAAATTATTACCTTTTATATATATATATTTGTAAACTTGAAATCAAGACCTCTCGATACTGAATATAAATTTTTTACCTTATTTAGGGTGGGGGTCATTGTGCGCCGGCGTATTATCGAAGAGAGTGTTATGAGATGTTTCGAAGGTGGATTCATTATTATCCTCTCTAAGTTGAGATGTTTCGAAGGTGGATTCATTATTATCCTCTCTAAGTTGAAATTGTTGCTCCTCTTGTAATTATTTTCCAGTATTTGAATTCTGAGTACTCAAAATTGTCATGTAATAAAAAATCTCTACAAATTAATAATGCATGCAATTTATATTACATTTTAAGATTTTCCAATGGTGAATTATCATTTGTGAAATAAAGAAACGAAGTGTTACTCATGTTGTGCAGCCAACAATATTATTTTAGCTCATTTAACTTTTTAAATAAAAAAAAAGTGTTGGTTTCGATTTCGAAAATCTTTATTTTGGTTTTAGCTTTAATGAAAAATTCGATATTTTTCTAAAAGTCAAATTAAATTATCAATTTGATTCAATGTAATAACATAAATTAATTGGTTGAATTCGATTTATATTTTAACCTGACTTTATTTTTTATTTTGATTGATTCGGTCCATGTCATGCCCATGGATCCTCAAGAAAATACTTCAAGGGCTTTTTTTTTTTTTTTTTTCCCTTCGTCAATGTAAAGAATGAATAGTGCTACATCCAGTGAGCTACTTTGATTACACAGGTGTTCTGTTCTAGTAGATTGATCTATTATTATTTTAATGATACATTTTGTTGGTGGTGGTGTGCCCACTCAAGTGGGACCCACACAATTATGAAAAGAAAAAAAAAAAAAAAATCAAAGGTTAGCAAAAAAAAAAAAAAAAAAAAATCAAAGGTTAGCAACAAACCATTGAATGGTTGGCATGCCAGTTGAAAAATAATGAAGAGCCGTGCTATGAGCCAATGGCACGGCTCTCTCAAAAATCTTTGTGCTATAAATGAGGCAAGGAGCAATTGCAGCATAGGCACCAACAAGAGGACCAACAATAAAGTGGGAGATATTAGGAGAGCCACGGATATAAACAATTAATCTGTGAAAGAATATTTGAGAGTTATTAGTTTTAATGAAAGGTTCTTAAAAATTCAAGGGGTGTAGAAAAATAGTGAAGATTGATTAAGGGGTGTTTTGGAAAACACTTGGTGAGTCGCCACTAAATTTTGTATTACTCCTCTTTGTAAGACCTACTATTTTTAATAGTGGAAGAAAAATTTGCGGAAGTTGGTCCGTGGACCGTAGCCCTAAACAGTTGAGGGTGAACCACATAAATTTTCTGTGTGTCCCAATTTTAATTTTTTCCGCTGCTCCAGTAAATTTTTTTCGTAATTTTATTGCCGTATCCCTAACAAGTGGTCATCCCAGAGCCTGGTTCAAGCCGGTCAGTATAGCGGTACCGGATGCCGTGGATAATTTTGAAAATATATAACCACGAAGACGAGAAAATTATGACGAGTCCGTTGGGTGGCAGTCCGCCTCGGAAAGACATTGCAAAATCGACCTTAGTGATGAATAGTAAAATAGTAACGTCGCAGTTGATGGTGATAGTTACTAAATTTGACGTTACTTGTTGCCTGAGCCCGTCAACTGTTAAGCCTAACACTATTCACGTATAGTACTAATTCACGCATACAAGGTACTATTCATGTATAGTACTATTCACACATACAGGTACTATTTTGCAACGTGATTAGTTAACTATTACTTATATTACTGATACTATTCATATATACGGTTACTTATTTAACTCAAAAGGTCATGGAAGCTAGAACAAAGCAAAAATGATCAGTCTAAAATGGCGGCAAATTACCATATATGGAGAAATAAAAATGAGAGATCTCCTTATGGTAACGTGCAAAAATCATCTGCCCGTGGTTTGGTTCAAGCAAACCGTGAAGACAAGACTGAATGAAAGAATCTGGCTTTTCGAGCATGAAACAAGTTTGTGGTTATAATTCGACAATTTTCGATGGATATGTGTACAACCACATTTGTAACGAGACACTCATGCCAGAACAGTTTGGGACATAACTTGAACATCTATATGCTCAAATCCGGCAGGACAACCAAATTATTTTATTTGACGAAGCTGAATGAAATTTCAAATACCAAGAAGGTAGCTTTCTGTAGCAAATCAAAACTTGAGTGAAAATGCAGGCGACTATTACACAGCTGTCAAAATATGGGCATAAAAATTTGGTGATAAAATCCTCGGTCTTATGGTGCTTGCCCTCCTTACCAGAGTCCATGGGAGACCTTTGACAGATATCAATAACAAACTCTACACCACAAATAGTGGAGTTAGCTGGGAATTTGTTAAAAATGTTGTTCTGAATGAAGAAATGAGACGTAAAGCACAAGAATCCTTCTTCATCTCAGTCAGACATTTTTTTAGCAGATGCTAAAAGAAATAACGCAGCCCAGAGGAAGGAGCCCAATCTAGAAAGTTCAAATACAAAGAAGACAAGAGCAGGAGGTAGATCAAAACAATTTGCAATACTGTGTGCCATCATTGGTGGGAAAGAAGGGGCACATTAAGAAGGTATTGGGAAAGGTTCAAGTGATCAAGGAAGAAAGAATCAAAGGCAAGCAAAGAAAGAAGAGAGCAAGTGATGATGAAGCTAAATGTTATTGCTGAGTTTCCAATCCTGTTTCCATTGAAGACACTATCAATCTTACAACCCAAGAGACCAGTTGGGTAATTGATAGTGGGCTACACTTCATGCAACATCTCGGAGAGAAAATTTTTCATCTTACACACCAGACAATTTGGGTGTGGTCAAGATAGCAGACGGCAAACTGTTGAAAGTCGTCTATAAGGGAGATATTTGCTTGGAGACGGAAAATGGTTCGAGATTAATTCTAAAAGATGTCATGCATGTACCAGACATGCATTCCAATTTAATCTCAGTTGGCAGACTTGATGCTGAAAATTTCTGTAGCACCTTTAGAAATGGTCAGTGGAAACTCACAAAAGGTTCCATGGTGGTAGCTGGTAGCCAATGGAAAGAAAGATCCAAAGCTGTACGTGATGCATGGGAAGCTCTCCCGAGATACTTTAAATGTAGCGGAGGATGACAGTACAGTTGAATTGTGGCATAAATGACTAGGCCACATGAGTGAGAAAGGAATGAATGTAGCGGAGGATGACAGTGCTGTTGAATTGTGGCATAAACGACTAGGCCACATGAGTGAGAAAGGAATGACAACTCTGGTCGAAAACAACATGCTATCTGGATTGGATAAAGTCCATTTAGAGAAATGTTCTGATTGTATGGCAGGAAAGCAGAATAGAGTAGCTTTCAAGATTTCTCAGCCTTCCTGAATGAAGAATGTGTTAGATCTAGTACATTCAGATCTATGTGGACCATTGACGATGTCATATGGTGGAAATCGATACTTTGTAACATTTATCGATGACCATTCTAGGAAGACGAAGACCTGGGTGTACACTTTGGAAGTCTAAAAGATCAAAGTTCTTAGATGTTTTTAAACAATTTTCTAAACTTGGTTGAGCGACAGACAGGCAAGAAGTGAAGTGCATCAGAACAGATGAATGAGTGGAGAATACACTGGGCCATTTGAATGCTTCCTGCAAAGAGCATGGTATTCGACATCAAACAACACCTCCTAAGACGCCTGCAACTGAATGGTTTGGCTGAGAGGATGAACAGAACTTTGTATGGAGAGAAGTCAGATGGTTTACTCTCAAACATGGCAAAGTTGTCTAAAAGATTTTTGGGTGAAAGCTCTTCTTACAGCAGTTCATCTTAATATCGTTTCACCTTTTGGTGTTCCTCTTCAGTATGATACTCCAGATAAGAGTATGGTCAGGGAAAGGATGTTTCCTATGATCACTTGCCGGGTGGTTTGGTTGAAAGGCATTTGTGCATATTCTAAGGAATGAGGAGGTCTAAGCTTGATGTCAAGACTCGACAATGTTGTATTCATTGGCTATGGCCCAAGATCAATTTGGCTAAATAAGATTTTTTGATTCCACTCCAGAAAAAGATGATAAGAAAGTAGAGATGCTGTATTGTTGAAATCAGACTATTGAAGATGTTGAAACGACTCAAAAGGAAGCTGCCGATAGATCTGAAGATGATTCAACAGATGTGCAAATAGTTCCTCCAACAACAGAACAAAGACAAGTTGGAGATGAAGGAAATGTTCCACAGGAACAAGAGCTAGAGTTAGAAAATCCAGAAGTTCCTTATCACAATGAACCACAAGAAGATTTTGATGGTGTTCATGTTCAGCCACCAGCTCCAGAAGGTTCTCAAACATTAAGAAGGTGTAGTAGAATCAGACAACCATCTACTAGATATTCAGCAAATGAATATGTATTGATGACTGACGGGGGAGAACCTGAATGTTTTGAAGAAGCAATGGAAAGTGAAGAAGCCAATGGAAAGTGAACACAAAGGAAATGGATTGAAAGCCATGCAAGAATGAATGAAATCTTGCAATGAGAATAAAACCATTTGAGCTGGTAAAGTTGCCCCAAAGGCAAGAAAGCTTTGAAGAACACAAGTGGTGTTCAGTGATCAAGCAGGAAGAACACAGCTCCCAACGCACGATTCAAAGCTAGACTGGTTGTGGAAAGATTAAATCAAAGAAACGGTTAATAGATTCTTGAGAGATCTTTCACCAGTTGTGGAAAATGACATCCATTCGGACAGTGCTTCCGGAATGGCCGCCAATTTTGATCTGGAATAGAGCAAATGGATGGTAAAGACTCCCTTCCCTACATGGAGATTTGAAAAGAAATATACATGGAGAGCCAGAGGGTTTTCAATAAAAAAGGGAAAGAAGATTAATGTTTGTAAACTGAAGAAGAGCCTGTACGGCTGAAGCAGGCAACCAAGACAGGTGGTAACAAGAAGTTTTGAGTCTTGTTTATGTGGGAGCAAGGTTTACAAAAAGACCACTTCAGATCACTGGTCCCCTTCGTAAAGAAATTCTCTGATGAATGCACACATTATTTCTTTCTGCCTATGTAGATATTTTGATTGTGGTTCAGCAATTCTGTCAGAATTAATAGCTTGAAGAAACAGACTAAGTTAAGTCTTTTTGCTATGAAAGACTTGGGACCCAGCAAAGCAAATTCCTTGGTCATGCAGATTACGAGGAATCGAAGAAACCCAACGAAATTATGTTGTCAAGGAGAAGTACATTGAGAAAGTACTTCAAAGGTTTTTAAAAATGGAGATATGCTAAATTAGCCAAAACAGAGTGCCCTTCTACCGATGGAGAGAAGGAAGAGATGGAAAAGATCCCATATGCTTCAGCAGTTGGAAGCTTGATGTATGCCATGGTCTGTACACGGCCAGCTATTGCTCACTCAGTCGGAGTAGTAAGTCGATTTCTTTCAAATCCAGGAAAGGAACATTGGGCTGCAGTGAAATGGATTTTCAGGTATCTTCGAGGTACGACCAAAGCATGTTTATGCTTTGGAGATGAGAAGCCAGTATTAGTCGGTTATACCGATGCAAATATGGCCGGGGATGTTGACTCGAGAAAGTCCACATCAGGGTATCTAATCACATTTGCAGAGGGAGCCGTGTCATGGCAATCAAGATTGCAAAAGTGCGTTGCTCTAGCTCAACAACTGAAGCAGATATTCATAGCACTATACAGAAGCATGCAAAGAGTGCGTGGGATAAGAAGTTCTATGAAATGAACTCGAATCATCAAGAACATATTTATATTCCTGGCGATCGCCAGAGTGCAATTCATCTGGGAAGGAATTCCTCCTTTCATTCAAGATCAAAGCACATTGATGTTAGATATCATTGGATCAGGGATGTATTGAGATGAAGCAGTATAGCTTGAGAAGATCCATACAAGATGAAATGGATCAGATATGTTAACGAAGATCTTCCAAAGACAAGTTTGAATATTGCAGATTAGCTTGCAGGGATGAAGGAGGAAGTAATGGCTAACGTCCCGCACTTGAGCGTGCAGGGCGGAGATTTGTTGGTGTGGTGTGCCCACTCAAGTGGGACCCACACAATTATGAAAAGAAAAAAAATCAAAGGTTGGCAACCACCATGAAATGGTTGGCATACAAAGTTGAAAAATAATGAAGAGCCTGTGCATCGAGCAATGCACGGCTCCTCAAATCTTTGCCTATAAATAAGAGCAGGAGCATTCAGCATCAGGCCCAACAAGAGCAACCAACAATAAAGTGAGAGATATTAGAGAGCCACAAGATATAAAATTATGCTGTGAAGACAATATTGAGAGTTATTAGTTTTTAAAGAAGGTTCTTAAAACTAAAGGGTTAGAAAAATCGTGAAGATTAATTAGGCGTGTTTGGGGAAACTACTTGTGAGTGCCTATTTTTGTATGTACTCTCTTACTCTCTTTGTAAGCATACTATTTTTAATAGTGGAAGAAAAATATTCGGAGTTGGTCCCGTGGACGTAGCCCTAAACAGTTGAGGGTGAACCACGTAAATTTTCTGTGTGTCCCAATTTTAATTTTTCCGCTGCCGTAATTATTTTCGTAATTTTATTGCCGGTATCCTAACACATTTGGCAAATGATTTCATTACCATGCTGTGCTAATAACATTAGTAGATTTTCTCCATCTATTTTCCCCGCACAAATTATAAAAGAAATAAAATATTACATTCTTTGTCCCATTAAATAGACTTATTTACCTATACTTTTTCTAATATAAGTTTTTATTAATATTATATGTCACTTGGAATACAAAACTAAATGAAAAAATTATTAAATATGGGGATATTAGATAATGAATAAGTTAATTGTATTTTTAAAAAGAAAATGGCCTGTAATTTAATGTAAATAAAAAAAATAAATTTATATTTATAGGATGAATGGAGTATACATATATATATATATATATATTCACATATTCCAACTGACTGATGCTTTACAACATGTCAATCTTCAAATTTTGGCAAATGATGCTTTACATTACAATAAAGCCAATGCTGTCTGCGATCCCGCTCCCTTTCATGAGTTGTCTACTTAATTTGTAGTTTTTGTCTGCAATTAGTCCCTCTGCTTTTCTTTCTTTTTTTAGATATTGAGGAGGGGTAGGAGTGTAAACGTGCAGAGTCGAGCTCAAACATACCAGGCTTGAAATTCGAAGAGCCTAAAAGTTTGAAGCTCAAGCTCGATTTGAGACTTCAGTTCAACTTGAAAAAGTTTTAACTTGAAGGTCAAGGTTTGAGTAAACCTAATATATATATATATAAGCCCGATAAGGCTCAACGAGTTTTTGAGTTGAATATCACTATACTCGAGCTTGACTCGTTTATTAAATAAGTCAGCTCAAATAGGATTCAAACCTAATTTTTTTAAAACTTTTTTCGAGTTGAGTTCGAATAGTTTGTGAATCGGCTCGAACTCGATTTGGGCCAAAATTTTCAAACTTTTTTCTAGTCAAGTTCGAAGAGCTTGTATGTCTATTCAACTCATTTAGACCCCTAATAGCAATTTGAATATGGATATATTATCAAGTTATAAGAGAATTACCAATATATGTTTATTTATAATCTCTTTTTTTTTTCCTTTTATGTAAGTTTTTTATTGGTTTCATTTATAATTTTTTATAGACAATCTTATTCAGTCTAATCCTAATGGGCAAGAAAATATTAAAACTATATCTATATGTTAAAATTAAAATTGAGTTCTCCATTTATCTAAATTTTTTAATAGATTAAATTATTTTCCAAAATTTATTTAATATTAACCGAAAATAACTACATAAATTTTTTTTTTTTGTTAGTATATAACTCCAAGTCTAAGTACATCTATCTACATAAGTAATTTTTTAAGGAAAGAAAAAGAAAATGATCGAACTATGATTTATAGATTTATAGATTACAATTTTAATAAAGAAACTTAATTACAATGTTATAGATTTATAATATTATGCTATTGCAAACAATGACATAGTCTTTTTATTACAAATCATTTTGAACCATTATTAATTATTTCAAGGAGGAGTTTTAATTGTTCTACCTAACAATTTGATAATTCAAAATAGTTTATTAAAAATAATAATATAATCAACTATAATAATTAATAAATAGGAGTTTTAATTGTTCTACCTAACAATTTGATAATTCAAAATAGTTTATTAAAAATAATAATATAATCAACTATAATAATTAATAAAATAATATTTGATAAAAAAAATTAAAAAGTATATAGAGTTTTTAATCTTATGGATCCCACTAACACTCAAATTAAATAAATGACCCACTGACAAAACATTTTTAGCTCTGACACAAATTCTAATTTCTATGCAAAAAGAGGGGAAAAAAAATTCAAAAATGGAGAATTAATTCTCTTGCAGTACTATACAATTTCAAATTTCAAAAAAATATTTTATCAATCAAAATTCAAGACTACAACATTCAGTATTAAGCACAAACAATCTATTGAATTATATGATCTAAATTCCACTCTTTTTCAACATCAAACAACTTTCCTTCTAACAACATGACTTCTATTTCTAAGATACGAACTATCCATCCCATCATTATCATCTTCTCTAAAAGAACAAGTCCTATCCTCATCAATTCTCCCAATCTTCCCTACCCCAACACTGTAACTCCTTCCCATCCCACAAAGATCACCTTGCTTGCAAGAAAACAATTGTACAAGTTGTTTTAACTCCTCATCCTTCATTGCTGTTGATGAAGAATTAACACTAAAACTCTTAGGCAAGTGAAGGCCTCCACTGCCTGTGCTTCCATAGCCAACCTTCCCACTATCAGCAAAATCTAACATGCCTTTCACATACAAATCTCTTGCCTTGCATAAAATTCTAATGGGTGCTCTTGTAATTTGCATTAGCTTGCTTTTCTTGTTTGCTTTGCCCCTCATTGTTGATTTTGTTTTTTAATTCTATCACTCTCTTAATCTCGACTTGAATAATTTATTTTTGATTTAAAAGATTATAAGAAAAAATAAAATAAGAAAAGATAAGTCTTTTGGAGGTAAGGTATATCAACAGAGCAAGAACAGTGGAGTTAATACTTTCAAATCTGCGTGGAAATTTGGAGATGGATTAGTGCTACGTTTGAGGTTTTATTTATATGTAAGATGTTTGGATTGAAAATGGGAGTTTTGAGTTCTTTCTTGGAAACAACATTATGATCATAAGAAAAATGTGGAAATTTCGGATAAATCTAACATTAAAAAAATACCATTAATTATTAATTTAATAAACTAGTTATGGGTTGGCAGTCTTCTAAGCTATTCACTCTCTGTTGGCGGTCAATGTTAAAATATCTCATAATTTTTTATTTTGTTTTTTTTTTTTAATATGTTAGGCTATTGATCGTTGTGATTTGAAATTTTTTTTATCTTATCTCAAAAAGAGATCATCTTATGTAAGTTGATCTTTTTAAAATTTTTTTATTTACCATTTTCGAGTTAGGTTAAGCGTATTTAACCAATTTGATAATTTGAGTTTATTAATTTGGAAATGCTAAGTTTTTCTTAGATATAAATATATATTGCTAATAATAAAAAAAAAAAAATTACATCTAGAAGTGTAGATGGAGAATAGGCTAGAGTAAATAGAGATGGTCACGTAGGTGCCTCATACATATGTGATTCATGGCCATTGGGGTGGCACTGAAATGATTTGATTGTATGCACAAGTAGAGTGAAAATAATAAATAATAAATTAGGGTAACAATATTGATATGGTGAATTTGATAAGTAACACAATGGACAAATCTCTATAACAATTAGGAGTACTGTGATGTGTTTACAATTTTTTTCCAAAAAATTAATTTCCCTATCTTTAACAAAAAAAAAAAAAAAAAAGTAATTTGCCCTATCTTTAACAAAAAAAAAAAAAAACAAGAAAAAAAATTCTAACAAAAAAAAAAAAATTCTAACAATAATCTGCCTTAATTAAGATCATAAATGACACGAGCCGCTCATGAATTGCTTCAAGCTCGGCTCTATAAAAATTCGTTCAAACTCGTTTGATAAGCTTATTGAGTTGATTTATCGAGCTCAAGTAATAAATGAGTCGAATTCGAGTTCAATTTATTAGCTTGTGAACCAACTTTATCTAGCCAGCTCGTGAGTCAGCTTTAGTTCACAAGTTAGGTCAACAAGCCAAAATTATTAAATTTATGTTAGAACCACTTTGGCCTTTCAAAATGACTTTGGCTACATTTGCAACCTTAACCCTAGTAAATATTCATAAAATTTTCAAAGGTGCATGCCTAATGCAACAAATATTACTAATATATAGTTTCTTTTTCTAGAGTAATAATATTGAAAATATTCTAATTAGAGTCTAATTATAATAATAATAATAAAATCCTTAAAATTTATCAACTGCTGATAAGTGAATATAAATGTTGTTGACTATTTGATAATTGTTATGTTCTTCATGAAATGGACAAATTATGCATAATACAAAAGAAAGGCAAATCCTTAAAAAAAAACTGTATTTCAAACTTCCCCAAATGTGCTATACTTAATACTTCCAATGAACAAGCCCACTATATATATGCACTCTTGCTCCTTATATATCCAACAGTCTAGTTCCAACTATTTCAACACTCACCACCTCAAACCCCCCCCCCCCCCCCTCCAAAACTAATTTCACACTCACCACCTCACAAAAAACACCCCCCCCCCCCCCCCCCCGGCACAAAACAAAAAAAAATTAAAAAACAATAGAAGTTCATCCCCCCCCCCCCCCCCCGGCACAAAACAAAAAAAATAAAAAACATAGAAGTTCAATTTTTTTTTTTTTTTAATCAGGAAGTGTAATTCTTTCGGATCATAGAACGTAAAGGTTTTTAGTTCTCCTAGCAAAGTGCGATCCCAGAAGTTCAATTTGACTTAATAAAAATATGAGAAGAGAAGCAAAGAAGCAAAGCAAGTTGGTTAAGATTCTATTAGCACCCATTAATGTTTTAAGGAAGACAACAGACTTTTACGCGACATGCGTCGACGATTGTGGGGCTAAGGTTGGAGCCGAAGGGGTAGTATTCTGTCCTGTCCCCAGGATGAGATTCACTGCTAATTCGTCCATTTCACGCAATGACGGAGAAATCAGAGAACCTCTAAGATCAATGTCTGAGCAAAAGAGAGCTCGTGAAACAGTACAGAAGTTGAATTCGAATATGCATGTACCAAGGAAGCAGGTGAGGTGACAAGTAGTTGTGGTGGGTATAGTGGGATAAATAAAAGGTACGGTAGTGTTGTAGTAGGGAAGCTTGAAGCAATTGAAGAGGAACATCCTTTGTTTTACGAGGAAGATTAATTTCTTGTTTCATTTAAGGAGAATATATTATTTTGAAAGCTTCTTTTTTTATTATTATTATTTACAAGTGTCTTATGACTGTGGATAAAAAATTTACTAATATTTCAATAATTTATGAAGAAAATGGATAAAATTAAGAAAACTATTGAATAAAAAAGGGGGAAAAAAATGAAAGCCTCAAACTCATAGGGGATAGAGAAAATTCAGTAAGCAAAATGTAAAAGTAACTTTTAGTATATGTGCATGGATATGTTCAAATTGCATTAAAAGTTGAAGCTGTAAGTTTTGATAAAACAGAAAATATATCCCAATAATCATATTGTTGAGATCGTCTAAAAGTATAAATGTAAAACACTATGGCATTGGAAGATTGAAAGCTGGATAGAAAAATTATTGTAAAAGGGAGACAACTTGAATAGCACAGAGATGAAGAGGGGCAAAGTCGTATTAACGTAGCTTATATAGCAAAGTTAACCTTTATTGTAAAAGGGAGACAACTTGAATAGCACAGAGATGAAGAGGGGCAAAGTCGTATTAACGTAGCTTATATAGCAAAGTTAACCTTTTTTTTAAGAGGAGGGAGGCAATTGCCCCTTTCTCATGAACGTAGCTTCGTCCCTAGCCTCTGAAAAGGGGCAAAGGATGTTGTCTTCCAACATCTATGTTAATCTGATTTTATTTTTAGTTGTGCTGGGATTTTTTCACCATTGTAAGAGCTTTTATCATTTCATGAACACGAGTCGATTTACAAACTATAGTTTATTTCTTCCGTCCATTTTTAAATTTTTACATGGTAATTAAAGAAGTATTTAAATTACATAAATTATAGCAAAAAAAAAATTCTCTAGTTTAACTAATTACTTTTTATCTCACCTAATTACTTTAATTTATCAATTCTCTAATAATGATTCACTAAAATTAAGAAAGGAAAATTAAGAGAGGGAAAGAGAGATGTGAAAAGATATTGTACTTGTGAAATTTTAGAAATAGTTTATGTTTAGCAGAGATAAAGATAAAATTGAAAAGATTAAGTACATATAATTTTGAATAAAATAATTCTTAAAGAATGACAAGTAAAAATAGATGGTGTGACAAAGAATATTTTATTATTTCATCCATCTACTTTAATCTATCATTTAAAGTCTTTACACGATAATTTAACTTTTTAATTTGACTAAATTATTCATTATCTCACCTAATTACTTTAATTTCAATAATTCTATCTTCATATTCTACTCCTAAAGTTAAGAAAAAGAAAAAGAAAGATGATAAAGTATCATTTAAAGTCTTTACACGATAATTTAACTTTTTAATTTGACTAAATTATTCATTATCTCACCTAATTACTTTAATTTCAATAATTCTATCTTCATATTCTACTCCTAAAGTTAAGAAAAAGAAAAAGAAAGATGATAAAGATAGGTTTTTAGAAAATTATACCTTTTAATTTGTTTTTATTGTTTCAAAAAATAAATTGTGTAGTCCTTCGAAAAGTCAATTATTTAGAACTTTTTGTCTAAATTATTTTGATTTTGACAATTAATTACAAAAAAAAAATTGAAAAAGAAAAAACTTTCCCATATCAACATAACTACCCTAATGCCCGTGCCTTGCACCGGCTTTCTAAAGCTATGGTTTTTTTATAAATTTATCGAAGTTAAATTTTAATTCCAATTAGTTTTTTCAAAAATTAATTTGTATAATGAAAGTTTTTAATATTAAATTCAAAATTAATTAATTCTTATACTTACCTCTTAATATGAGGGTTTAAATGTTAAAAGTAAAAAAATATAAAGTTCTTGCAAATCTAATCATCTGTTTATCCTTAATTTTTCATTTAAAAAGTTTAAAGTTACGATATTTATTTTTTCAGTTGCATAAACTTTAATTCCAGGCTTTTTTTTAAAAAAAAAAAATTAAATTGTTAGTACAAATATTCGAAAAAGAGATTAATTTGCAGCTGAATTAAAATGGACATTTTATATAAAAGGTATTTACACCATTAGACAAATGGAACCAAGTCCTAAAGTGATAGCATATAATTTTTCTATAATAACAAATAGAAAAAAAATGAATCTATATAAATATTTAAAATGATAGCAATATTTTTAATTGGTTATGCAAATAACAAAAATGTAAAGTATTATACTTAAACACTAATAAAATGATACAAATAATCAAATCAAACATTAATACACTAATAAAACATTGAAATGTTTTTGTAACTTCACAATTTTAAAGCCATTAATACACGGAAACGTATGTTATTAAACTTTATCATTTTTTAAAAATTAATAATTAACAATAATTACTTATAGTCATTAATACATTAAATAGGCAAATCAAATCAAACCAAAAACACTAATTCAATATAAATCCAAACCAGACCAATATATTAATACATTGAATAATTAAACCAAAAACACTAATTCTAAATAAATGCAGAATATTTCAAGTGAAAGCCTAATTGGAGGAATATGCTACATATCAAATTAAAATGCCAAGTGCACATGCCACATGTCAATTTTCTAAAGAAAAATACTTGCTTTTTATATATATTTTCTAAAGAAAAAATTAACTGCTGTTA